TAGAACATCTGAAAGCTTAAGTAGAAAACCATCAACTAATTCCAGAGAAAGATCTCCATTGGTTTCAACTTCAGCTTTGACTCCATTTGCTACTTTAATTCTTCTTTCTCCTCTTTGCAGGGTTCTCATCGTACGCAATCCCTGTAATGAATTTGCAACATGAACAGTTGCACTTGAATCAATGCACCAAGTAGATTTTGCATAACTTAAATATAGGGATTCATATATGAATGTAATGAAATCCTCACGCTCTCTTCAGAAGGCTCTTCAAAAGTCTGGACAGTCCCTCTAGTAGTGTCCATGCTTCTTATACCATTTGCACTGATCCTTCTCAACTTGAACATTGTTGTTCTTCTGATGATGCTTAATCTGAGGGGCTTTCCCTTGAGGTTTGGTATTCTTATTGAAATTCTTTTTTTGTCCTTCACAAGGTTAGCAGAGTCACCCTATAAGGACTTTAGCCTTTCCTCTTCTTGAACACACATTGCGATGAGCTTCTCTATGTCCCACTTGTCGAGTTGTATGTTGTAGTTAACAACAAAGGTTTCATATACCTTTAGCAAGGAAGCAAAAACCAAATAAATCGGGAACTCATCCTTGAGCCCCAAATCCATTGGCTTCAGCTTCGAAGCCGTGTTGCTCATCTTCAATATGTACTCTCTGATACCGCCACCAGTATATTTTTTATTGAATAATTTCTTGATCAATGAACTGGCATAAGCCTTTGAAGAGCTAGTGAACTGACTCTCCACCTTCTTAAGGTACTCCGTGGTGGTATCACAGTCTAGGATAGACCCCCTTATAACATCTAAAATTGTGGACTTAGCCACCATCAAGCACTTGTGGTTTGAAATATCCCATTTCTTGTGTTTGAGATCATACTTCATCCGCACTTCTGCATGATCTCGATGTCGAGCGGTAAAATCAGCATCAGACTCATTTTCTTTGCTCACCGGGTCCACTGGCTCAGTAGGACACGGGGAGGTAAGCGCTAGGCCATTTTTAGACAGCACAAGTGCTAGCTCATACTTCTCTCATCATACCATATAGTTGCCCCCTTCAAGAGGTGGTATGTGCGAGATGAATGCCATCGGGTTGAGTCCTGAAAAACACCGTCGGAGATAGTGAGAAAATATGACATTATAATTGCATCTTTAATTTAACGTGGGTCAAAATTAAAACATACAATATTCTTATACATTAATTCTACATCACTGTTGGGCAGAAATAGAATTAATGCATGGAAAACTTATGAATAAACATTATAATATTGTTATTATCAACATTGGTCTAAAAAATAATAATATTATAATTTATTGACTAAAAATGACTATTCTTCATATTAAATTCTCATGTTGGTTCAAATTTAATTATAAGATAATAAACTATTACATTACAGTGGAAACATGAAAAATTATTTATCTGCTTTTTAGAAGCATTTACTGTACTAATCTACTCTCTGAAAAAATTATTCCGTTGATTCAAATTTTGACAGAGATTTAAACTGGACTAAATTCATCGAAATCTGTTTCTGAAAATAATAAAACAAAAACAAAAAATGTTACTGTGCAATTTGGACCGAAATTCTGGCGATTGCCTCTCGTCATGTCATGATCCACATTGTGAATTCATTTACGCTGCTTGGCTTTGGCTCTCGGCTGCTACCGCCCGCCAGTCAATAACCTAAGCTGGGCAGCAAAGCCGCTTGCGCCAGCATGCCTTCACTTTGGGCCGAAAGTTGGCCCGGCAGATCTCAACCGTCGTTTTAGATTGGATGGTCATGCGCCATTTTAGGAGAACAAAATCCCCGGCTGGCCGCGCCCAAACCCTAAGCTCGTTCTCTTCTCCTCCTCTCTCTCAGCCCCGCGACTACACCGAGTGAGGCGAGGCGATGACGGCGCCGTGGCCGCCCTCACGCCGCGCGCAAGACGTGGTCCCAATGGGTGAGCGCTGCCATGCCATCAAGGGCACGCCACGACGCCCTTGGCCAGAGCACGCGCTTACTCAACGTGCTGTGTGGCTCGGCTCGACCCTTCTTCTCGCTGCTAGCCGACGAGGCGGCATGTGTGGTCGCAAAATGCAAGTAGGCCTCTTCTCCTTCCTCTTTTTTCTCTGATTGGATTTTCTTTCTTTTTTCTCGGATCTATCCGATTTAGGGTTGGGGATGGGGTTAGGATCGATATTAGGGTTAGGGTTTCTTTACTGTTCATCTTCCCCGAGCGGTTTCTTCATAGGTTAGGGCTCGTTTCGAGTTCTCTTGAAGCCGGGACCCGTTCTTACTGCTTTACTTCATCGATTAGGGTTAGGGTTCGGTGATCCTCTTCTCTTCTCAGATCCAAACAGATCTAATCTATTTTTTACCTCGACATGATCTACATCTTGACAGATGGTTCCGATAGGCTAGATCTACGTCTAGTTAGGCGACTGATACCATCGATAGACTTAAAACAGGATCACTAGCCATAGATCTAGCATGTTTACTTGCTTTTGGAATAAACAGTGAGTCCTAGAACATCTACTAGTACAAGATTAATAGATAGAGTGAGAGAGAGATGAGTGAAGGGGGTGCAAACCATCGGCCGCCTTCGAGGAAGATAGGCTTGCTATCGCGGTGCTTGGTGAAGACCCGGTGGCGGTGTTGTGTCAAAGGGCGGTGGTGCAGTGGCGGCGTTGGCCGGTGGCGGTGCTTCCCGTCACTGGCTGCGCACCCTCTCTTAGATCGGATTAGGGTTGTGTCGGTGGGGCAACTGTAGCTAAGTGAACTTCGTGATCTGAGCCGCCGCCCCTACCTTCTCTTTTATAGCGCAGTGTGACGGGGGCCCATCAACCATGTAGGGTTGGGCGCCCCGATCATGACGCGGATCCAAGGGTCGGCCAATTGGATAGAGATCATCTAACAAAAACCACTTCTTCTCAGTCTCTCTCACTCTCTTTTTTGTCCACACCAGAAAAGCATATCTCTCGATTAGAGCGTTCTCAGAGGGAAAGCTTGGAGCCAGCGACGGCGAACTGGTCAAGCTACTCAAGCAGGCAGTGGACATCAGATCATTCCAGGGGAGAGGTGATGAGGAGAGAATTGAGGAACATTAATGGTACTCGTTGTGTATGTAAATTTGGTTTTTTGAGGGCATCAATCTTAAGTTTAACTAATTATTTATATATAAAAAAGTATTTATAATACGTGTTTGGTGGTGGAGGTAGATTATTATCCGAATTAGTGTTCAAAGTTGTCTCGTGGTGTGAGTTCAGATTTCTAGTGTGGATATGTGGAAAACTCCATCGGACCTAAACTCGCCCCTGGGTTTGGTGGTGGAGGTAGATAAAATGTGAATCGGTGTTCGAGGCTGTTTCGGGCAGTGAGTTCCAGATTTCTAGCGTGGGTATGTGGAAACTCCATTGGACTGTTTCGGGCGGTGAGTTTAGAATTCAGATTTCTAGCGCGGGTATGTGGAAACTCCATTGGACCTAAATCCGCCCCAGGTTTGACGATGGAGGTAGATTATTATCTGACTCGGTGTTCAGGGTCGTTTCAGGCGCTGAGTTCAGGTTTCTAGCGCGGGTATGTGAAAAGTCCATTGGACCTAAATCTACCCCGAGTTTGACGATGGAGGTAGATTATTATCTGACTCGCTGTTCAAGGTCGTTTCCGGCTGTGAGTTCAGATTTATGGTGCGGGTATTTTTTTTCAAGATTTCCCGTCACATCGAATCTTTAGACGCATGCACGAAGCATTAAATATAAATAAAAAATAAAACTAATTACACAATTTAGATGAAATTTACGAGACAAATCTTTTAAGCCTAATTAGACTATGATTGGACACTAATTGCCAAATAACAATGAAAGTGCTATAGTACCCTTTTTCAAAAAATTTCGCCAACTAAACAAGGCCCTGGTGAGGGTACGTGGAAACTCCTTCCATCCTAGCAGGGAAAGTGTTTCTAGGAGTTGTTTGTGGGGCCATTTAGGTTACCCGTTGCAAAATCTTATCTTATCTTAGGACCCATAATATGGCAGTGGATATAAACCATAGTGTAATCATCAAATTATCCAAATGCATGAAATTGTAAGGGCACAAAATATGGAGGGCCATGTCCCCCTTAGGGCGTCCCCAATGGTTCATAAATAGCTAGTCTAGGAATAATTCTATTAGGTATCAAGGAGGGAAAACAAATAGGTAGGAACTACCAAATAGCTAATCTAGCATGATCTCCTAGAAACAACTCTCTCGTAGCTCACATAACTCCCCATTGCAATATTCTTTTTTTTTTTATTTCTAAGCCCCATCTAGCTAGCTATTTGTAAACTGTCATTAAGGACGCCCTTAGGTCCCGATGAGTAGTAACGGTTTTATTGAATTTTGAGATTCTAGAATTCTCTGAGTTGAAATCTCTCTAAATCTAGGTGCCGTTTAAATCCCAATAGTTTTATTGGATTTTGAGTTTCTTGAATTCTATGAGTTAAAATCTCTAAATCCCAAGGGATTACGAGAATCTGGATAAAAAGAATCCCAATAGTTTCATTGAATTTTGATATTCTAAAATCCTGTGAGTTAGAACACCTCTAAAATTTAGGTCGTTTGTATAAAATACTAGGATTGTAGGTTTTTTTTTTCTATCTGAATTCTCCAAAGGATTCAAACAGAGCCTTTAAGTTCTCCATTACAGGAAACTTTCTAGCACCCACATACAAACAGACAACAAGCATACGGTACGGCGAAGACAAACACACCATCACCCAAAGGGCGAAGCAAATACATACGTAGTACATTACAATGTCTTACACTGGCAGGCACCCCAGTGCAGCAAAAGCATGCCTGATAAGACTAGGCGGTACTAATAAGAACCATGCTTACTAGGAGACCATGGCCACTAACGACGGACAACTAATAACCCCATTTTAGAAACTAATATAACCACGCAACAGCGAACAGAAGTAGCAAAGATAGAGCGCAACTGGTGGCATTCCGCCCCGGATGAGCGGCAGCAAGTCCCTGTCAGTCAACCGATTCGAACGCTGACGGAGACACTAGCGGAAGGCCCCCAGTACGCATCCGGCACGAAGAGGAACTTGTTGGCCTCCAAGTCCTCGAGCTCGCGGATGCACGGCGCCGTCCCCAACAGCGAGAGCGCGCCTCCATCTCCATCCGCGCCGCGCACCTCCATCTTGTACTTGATGTCGACGTCCCCTTCCGGGCGCGGGCCGAGGCAGACCAGGTACAGGGAGCGCCGCGCCAGCGCCTGGATGTCGCCGCCGTTGCGCAGCAGGAACAGCTTCCTCATGTCGGGCTGTCGGCCTGCACCAGCAGGCGGAAGGGCGCGCTCTTGTGGAGCGCCACCGTGGTGGCCTGGAGGTAGGCGACGGAGGAGACATCGCCGGCGTGCTCGTACAGACCCATGTTCATGCCGCGGTAGCTGCAGCCGTCGACGGGGCACGTACCCGTACGGCGCGTGGCGGCAGCTCTCCTCGTGGGTCCGCTTCTGAACGAACTTGATGATCTCCGCACAGCCGTAGTTGCTGAACTTGCAAAGCGTGTTCATCTCGGCGAGCATGTTCTGCACCGGGCGGCACCGAACGGCGTGTCCATTGATACACTGAAAAACAACACGGTAGGACAATACATACAGTAGCCACCATAAAAAAATATCAAAATCAACCCGCACAAAGAAATTGCTGAAGTAGTAGGGGTATTTTAAAAGTTTAAGAGCGCTTGCCATGAACACTTCAGCCTCAAAAGGCAATGGGGGCGTTTGATTTCCGGGACTAAATTTGAGTCCATGTCACATCGGACGTTCGGATGCTATTTAGGAGAACTAAATATGAGTTAATTATAAAACTAATTACACAGATGGAGGCTAATTTACGAGACGAATTTATTAAGCCTAATTAATCCGACATTAGCACATATTTACTGTAGCACAACATTGTCAAATCATGGACTAATTAGGCTTAAAAAATTCGTCTCGCAAATTAGCCACAATCTGTGTAATTAGTTATTTTTTTCGTCTAAATTTAATACTTCATATATGTGTCCAAACATCCGATGGGACAGGGACTAAAATTTTCCTGTAGCAACCAAACACCCCCTAAAACAGACGCCAGTCTATCGACTTAGCATCTGAATCCAGCCATACATGTCTGTCTTCCTCCTCACCCTTCTGGTCTGTACATGGCCTTTTTCTTGGTGACTTCCTCGCCGGGGGCGCCTTCGCCCCATCTTTCTCTGAGACCCTCTTAGCGTTCCTCGACATCTCGGCCTGATCTGGAGACCGGAGATAAATAACGACATCAGCTTCTACACTACGTCAAGGAACAGTACACGCATCAACAGTCCCCACACAAGCGACAGGCATTCCCATTCACATCTCCAGAGCACATACATGATACATCAATGATCAACGAAGGTTAGAGGAGGATTGGAGCTACTACACCTTTGCTCACTGTCACTGTGGACTAGGCTCCTTCGAGTATTGCGAGCAGGGACTGCAAATTGGTTGGGACCAGCGGCGTCGAGAAGTTGTGGATCCCTCACTACTAGTAGTAGCTCGGAAGAGAATGGCCGCCCCAATATCCTTCTATTGGGAGTCTAGAGATATATATTTATATTTATATTTATATTTAGCTAGTGTTTAAATTCAGAGAGTAAAATTTACGAATGTTACGTCGGGTGTCACATCGATGTGTCACGTGAGAGTGTTCGAATAGTAATAAGGTCAGTCTCAATGGTAGTTTTAAATGGCTTTCATTCTCATTAATTGCTATGACACGTCAGCATATTTGCTGAGTTAACAGAGTATTAATGAGAGAGAGAGGAGAAGAGAGTTTCATGAGACCCATCCTTCACGGTTACCAGCACAATGAAACCCACTGTGAGCCATTCGTTTCATTTTCTGGCACAGCCGGCGATCTCCTGTGCACGACGCTCTGTTGTGCTCTAGCTCTGCTCAGCGATACAACCAACAGAAGCAACGGAGGTCCGGAGGTCTAGGTAGCAGGCGGTAATGCTAGCTGAGCAACTGAGCAGGCTTGCTCTTCGAGATGCTGTGATGTTTGTTAATGAATTTACTATTTGGTTCATTTTGTCTTAGAAAATATTGGATTAGTTAATAAAATTTAGTTCAACATGTTTATTTGTCGGCATGAGACATATTCAATGTTTAGTTTAGATATAACTAGAAAACCATGGGCGCAGTGTTGCCGCGCCAGCTAGGGCTATTCCAGTAGAGAACATGCGAGTAGTATTGGCGGTGGCTATGTATCGAGATGGAAAATATAACATATGACTTATTGGTACTTATTGGTAGTGGCCTTATCTCCGATTGATAGGTCACCGTTCGAGAGCCAAATGCCAACCGAAAGGGTGGATTGCCGATCGTGCTGCAAAGAGACCAACAGTTCCTGCTTGATCGATCGGGAGGCGAATTGCTTGATGTTTAATTTTCTATATATTTTTTATCAAACTTGAGATGGTTTAGCTCTCCAAGAAAATTTAAATGACTTATAATTTGGAATGGATGGAGTACTTATTCATTTGGTTTTGTCCCTTTTCAGATTATGTAGTGAAATAGAATCGATAATCGCTAATAAGTTATCTGCTCAGGTCATGGCACAACCTAAATTGATATTTTCTATTTCGAATTGGATGCTTTGCTGAAATATGCATTTTTCGATCTTGCAAAAATAAAATTGGCTACAGGAACACCGATCACTATGAGAGATGAATTTTGTGAAGCCCTGAAGCTAAGCTACCCTAATGAAGTAGCATCAAAATTAAAGAACATTTCGATTTTCACCTAGCTGATGGTAAGGATCATGTCTATTTCTGAATAAGCACTTCATTCCTTTCTTCAAATTTAATCGAGGCAGTAACAGTTTATAATTCTGAGCTGAAATAGCTACCCAAAAAAATGAATTGAATGAACATGTCTATGAGTATGTTGTTTACAACGTTAACCATTGTGATGTTGTTAATATCCAACGTAATTAATAGCTATTTTAAATGAAACTTACATATAAAAGTAATAATAGGACTGCAATGGTTATTATTGCATATGCCAAATGGCCTCAGTTCATTCAGAATAGAAGAAGGGACCATATACATCTAATGGTTCTCATCACTGCATGTGCCAAATGCCTCAATTAAAAAAAAAAGTACAATAGAAAGATCATAAAAGAGTGATGATCATCATTGCATATTCCCATATACCTTAGTTCAGAAAAGAAAATAGACAGATGGATGGTAATCATCACTGCATATTCTCAAATGTCATAGCTCAATGAAAATTTGTAGTCATTATATAAATTGGAGCCATTGTATGCATACATAGCTACAACAACAGCTATGGTAAGCTTTGATTCCAACATCATTGGAACTAAACAGTATTGAGTTCAATAACAGAAAAAACAAGCATGGACATATATATTTCTTATCTTGTAGGTCGTCCATGAGAGGTGAAGTGAATGATGTCTGATGCCTTGACTTCAATAGTAGGTCGCACCTAAAGAGATATGGAACTATTTTAGATTAAAAAATCTGTCATGACCCGTAAGCTATCTGGAAACAAACGTATAAGTAATGAACATGTAGAAGTGTGGGTATTTTTTGAAGGATGAAATATAGTAATCGGAGACGTAATAGCATGTTAAAATGCAGTAAACTATTAGTTTGTTTAATAGTACATGAAAACAATTTGATTGTTGTACAGCTCTTTGAATGTGCATCTAAAAAAATATAGCTGAAATGAGCTATATTCTATATAGAACTTAAAAAAATAACTAATAGCTCCGTAGCATAGTTAATAAATACTTAGTGTACTTTTCCTTAAATCTTCTTGTTCACAGGTTCACATGATTTGATTTTTAATCATACAAAATCATGAAACATGAACTCTTAAATCAGGGCTTGAGATGACAACGTACTTACATCTCTCTAGCATACTCTTGTAAGAACTATTGGTTGCATTTCTCTCTTGTAAGAAAAGAGATCTGTAGATCATTCCAAACAGAAAGTAAAATTGGAATAAATACAGAAGACTTGGGCCACGAAATAATCTACAAATTGCTAAGTCACAACGATAAGCAGTGAGGGCAGCATGTTGTGATGCTGTTATGCACGTTATTAGGAGCTAAAACACAGAAACTCAGTGAGGATATGATAGTTATGTACCTGCAGAGCAGCATTGTTGTCAATGATTTCTGAATAAATGATTTGCATCCAAATTGTAGTGTTTTGCCAATATCTTTGCATTTATTTATCAGTTCAATTTTTGCCAACACCTTCTTTTGCCAAAAAAAGGAGGAACACTTCACAAAGATTTATCTCTGCTGCTACTGCTTTTTGGATATTTCTAGCAAAAGGTAAATCTCAATAAAATATGGAAGGAAACAAAAGGTATGTTAGTGCTTTAAATTTTAAAATCCAATTAAAGTGTATAGGTAAATTTAGACTGGGATTTTGATCATCGGTGGCCTCCAAAAATTAATATAGTAGAGGTAGAAAGGTGATAGTGTCTCCAAATTGCATCTCCTTGGGTTACTAAAACTCATGGCCTAATCTCTTACTGTGAGGCTTTGTGATCATTCAGTCGCTTATCATTCATAATACCGACCCCATATTATCCATCCAAACATCAATTCATTATCAAGCAAAGACTGATTCTGGTACGATAATATTTCTTTATTCTTCTAATATATCAGAATATATGCCCCTGACTAAAGTGATGCTGTATTAAGAATTTAGTAGTGAAGAAAAGCACCGTAAAGAAGTATGCTTCATATTTATAAGGTACTGCTCCATGTTATTGAAAGGATTGGGCCTATGCAGTTCAAAGATGTTAGGTATCATCTTATTAATGTCAATATTGATCAGAGTAAACCTTCAGAGCCTTTGCTGTTCTTTTTCTGGAGTAGTAACTAAATGTCTAAATCATTCAAAAAATTGTTTAATGGTGAAAGGAGAATATAGTTGAATATAGAACACTATGATAAAAAACCGATTTATAACAAAAATTGTAAGACATCCTTTGTAACATAATCTCGCTATCCTGCTTATCGTGATCCTCTCCATGTTGTTTTTACAGTTTATTGTAAACTATTTCCAGCTATAGTGCACACCCTTCTTAATTTTTTAGAACCATGTTTGAGAAGAAACTCTTAGTCTGGTTAAAATTCTACACCAATGTGGATTCAATCTATCAATATTCAGAGCATAGTACAGATTAACACATCTGTTTACCTGCATTTTGTATAAGAGTAAAGAGAAGAGAGAGAGGAAAAAAAGGCATGTTAGCACTCACCAGGATATACCTCATAGACATATCGTCGAACACTTGTGTGCAGCCTCCAGGTTGACGCCAACCATGGTGTCAGAGATGATGGTGGCTGTGGCCGTGGCCGCAGTGGTGACAAATGGTGGCTTCGGGACCGCATCCAGCCGCAGTCGGTGCAGGCTGCAGTGATGAAAGAGCAACCGCTGGGTAGGGAGACCTTGATGTGGCAGCGTGGTTTGCGTGCGACCGAGGTCGGAGGTGGAGACTGGTTCCCAGCAAGAGCGGAGCGCTGTGGGGGCATGGCGGCTTAGAACGGACCATCTCGGCCGCCGGCCATGGCAGGGGGAGGCACCCTCAGCCACCAGCGCGGCTGCTCCCTGGCGTGGGCGTGACCGGTTCTCCGGTGCGGGATCCGGCCGGCGGCGACGTGCAGCTTGCGATGCGAGAGCAGCGGGAGGAGGGATGCACGCCTCAGTACGCGCCGCGGCAGACGGAGATGCGGAGCCGTGGCCCTGCCACCTCGCCTCGGCGCAGGATGAGCCGGTTCCACGGCGCGTGCGCGGCCGGCCCCGGACGCACGCGGCTCCGTCGTCGCGAGCCCGGTCTCGCCGCACCTGGAGCCCGCTGCCGCGCCGGGAGCCCCCGTGGCGTCTGGAGCCCGCTGCCTCGCCAGCTCGTCGGTGGCAGGGACCCGCGCCGGTGGCTTGCGCGCCGCCGCTTGCCGGCGACCCGCGGTCAGCCGCACCCACGGGCTGGGAGCCGCCGCCAGATCCCCGCCTCGCCGCCTGTCGCGAGGGGCCAGCTCACCGTCGTGCCAGTGCGTCACGCCAGCTCATCGGCGACCGCGATTCAAGCCCGCTCTAGTGACCCTGCAAGCGGAGGTTGGAGTGGAGAGCAGGGGTGGGGGCGGCGGTCCGGCGGAGGGGAGAGGGGACGAGCGTCGCCCACGAAGCTTCGTGATGGCTCCGGTAAAGCATGGATTGAGGGTCGATTTCGGTAAAGTCGAGGGCTTTTTTGAAAAAAACCCTGAGAGGAGGCCTGGACTGAGAGTTGATTCCACTAAAGTTCGAGGGTTTTTTTTGCAAAAAGACCGGAACTTGTCCGCGCGGCCGATCCGATGGTCGGGAAAAACAGTGGTCGGGAAAAGCAGGGGACGTAGCCACACTGCCTGACCCTCTTTTGATAGCAGGATTCATATGGTAAGATTTCAAACATGCCCAATTTAGACATACTTTTATATGGCTACATAGTTTACATGGTACGTTAGATCACAATAATATACATACATTAACTCATGTATGTTGACTTGGAAACAGTAAAACAAAACTCTCCACTGGAGAGCTAATTTCATTTCACAATCTAAATCTACAAAGCTGACGTGTCAGTCTTAGAAAGAAGTGAGGTGAAATCCACCATTGAGATTGGCCTTAATAAAATAAATTACAAAAATCCTCAGTAATCCATGAGAAAAATTTATTAAGTCTAATTAATTCGGCATTAGCACATGTACTGTAGCACCATATTGTCAAATCATGAACTAATTTGGCTTAAAAACTCATCTCGTAAATTAATCACAATCTATGTAATTAGTTAATTTTTAAAGTCTATATTTAATACCCATTTATGTGTTAAACATCCGATACAATGGAAGTAAACTTTAAATGAGGAACTAAACCATGACTTAGCCCGATCGGCAACGATTGCTGCTGGTGGAAGCACTAGCTACAGTAGCTAGAAAGAAGAAAACAGCCGTCCGTAGCTGCCGCCACTGTAGGAGAAAAAAAAAGGCAGCTTGGGCGAGTGGCTATTGGAGTTCAGGACAGGAGGATGGAGTGAGCCGCTGGGTAGAGGAACGTCGCTACAACTGTACGTCAGGACTCAACAGTATAGTAGCCGTGCAGGTATGTACTAGGTACTGGTACTAGGCTTTGAATTTTTTATAATTTAGCTCTTTTTTTAAAAATTTCCTATAAATAGACTTTTAGCGAAAAAAATTTAGAAAATAAATCCATAACTCGGCGCCATTACGCTGACGCCGACCTCGACACCAGCATCTCCAGCGCCGCGCTCCGAGGGCGCCATTCACTCTGACGTTCGGCGCCAGTCAAGCTATCTACAGTAGCAGAGACAGAGATGCGGAGCGCTCGGGCGAGACACGACAGCGACCCCTGAGGGAGCCAGCAGTAGCAGGGACAGAGACATCGCGCTGAGGGACCTCTCCCTCTTTTTTCTGTGGCAGACTGACACAGCGTTGTACTCCTTCAAGCCAAATTTCAAGTTTTTTTATTCTCTCTTCATCACATCAAATTTTAGCCATTTGTATGGAGCATTAAATGTAGGTAAAAAAAATAATTAATTGTACAGTTTAGTTGAAAATCACGAGATAAATCTTTTAAGCTTAGTTGGTTCACGATTAAACAATATTTACCAATTAAGACAAAAGTACTACTATTCATCGATCTGAAATTTTTTTCAATCTAAACAAGTCCCAGGTTCCTCCATGGTCAAATTGAGGTCCAGCTCTCACACCATCTCTCTCCATGCGTGCCCTTACCTGACCTGCAGCCCTGGCCTATGTGGCTACAGCTACAGTCTATGTTGCTACAGCTACAGTACTATTGAGCTGCACTTACCATATATACCAGACACGCAGTGGTATATAGCCGAGGTGTTCCAATCTAAAATCTTTTAAAAGGTCCTAATTGAACAAAGTTCATCACATTGAATATTTGCTATAGTGTCCATGTCTAAATAAGGCCTAGTAGTAGATTAAATAGTACTACCTCAATTAAAAAAAAAAGACTAATTGCATGAAATTGATGAGTAAATTCTCCTAGAATAATAAATTTTTAAGCCTAATTAGTCCATATTTGAATATTAATAAATAAAAAATAAAATTAAAAGACGAAATGACGACAAATCAAAATTCCTATGAAACCCCTGAAACTAAACACGGCGTAAAGCAGCTCTACAAAAAAGTGCTTGGTGTTAAGTGCACACAAGTGTGAAAGCAAACAACGGAACAATTACATCGCATGCATGGCATTGCTTTATTATGTATGATCCTTGTACTGTACTACCGTTTGAGGCCAGGGAGAGCGAGGGAGAGAGAGATGGTGTGAGAGAGAAGAGCTGGACCTCAATTTAGCTGTAGCAACATAGGCCAGGCTGCAGGTCAGGTATGGGCACGCATGGAGAGAGGCCGTGATGTGCTGATGAAGTGATGAGCTGAGCTGCTGTTGCTTGGAGGAGCGTGCAACGTGCGGCCTGTGTGCTGTGTGCGCACCTGTGTGCTGTGTGGGATTTAGGGCCAATCGTTTAGATTCATCTACATAAAGTAAAAAATTTCAGTTTTTGATTTCGAATAATACTCTACGCAAATTTGATGTGACGGGAAACTTTCATAGTCTTATTTGACAAATATTGTTAAGTGCACACAATCGTGAAAGCAAACAACGGAACAATTACGCCTTTAGGCTCAAAAAGATTCATCTCGTGATTTCCAAACTAAACTGTGTAATTAGTTATTTTTTACCTAATTACATTTAATACCAAATAAAAACGTATTACGGTAACCCCAAAAAAATTGATGGCAATGATTATGTAGAGAGGGATGAAAAAAACTTAGAATTTGGGATGCATCTAAACAAGGCCTAGGACGAGTGGACGACGACCGGACGATGGATAGATGACGGGACGGGACGGCGGCAGAGCGAGAAGCTAGCGCTAGTAGACTGAGAGCCGCAGCAGTCCGAGAGGCTGCCGGGGCTCGTGCGATGTCTCTGGGTTATTCGGCTGGAGGAATTTAGATAGTTTGACGAACGTTGGAAAAATTTATGAAAAAAAAACATTATTTTAGATGAAAAAAAGGCTGCAGGAATTAAATCGGGTTTTGTGGGCATGATGAATGAGGACCTCTGTCCCTACTGTGCGCAAGGAGCTTAGGCGAGTGGACGACGAATGATGCGGACGGGAGACGGCAGAGCGAGAAGCTAGCGCTAGTAGACCGAGAGGCGCAGCAGACCGAGAGGCTGTTCGGGGCTCGTGCTATGTCTCGTGACTGACGTCGAGCTCGACACAGGGTGAATGGCGCGGAGCCTCTGGCAGGTTAATTTACCGTGCCCAGGAGCTCGGCGTACGAGACGTTGACGTGGCGTCAGCATCAACGCCGTCGAGATAAAGGCCTATTTTCTATTTTTTTTTATAGAAGTCTATTTATGAGAAACTTCTAAAAAAAAGACTAAATTGTAAAAAATTCGGTCAGTAAACAGGAGGAGCGTAAGAAAGGCCCGCTTGGTAGGATCCGAACTATTGTTTGTATCAGCTAAAATTTATAATCTAGATATTATTATTTGTATTTGTTTTTAATGTAGATACTAAATATAGAGTATACTCAAATCATTTTTAGTATTTTCCCCAATTCTATTTCAGATCTATATTCGACGAAAAATATAGAATATATGATATTTATCCGTAAATAAATCTATTTAAAGTTTTCTCTTCATAGCTAGTGACTAATTATTTAATTTCAATATTACTAATGATGCATTCAAACTATTTGATAGAATATCTATACATAACTTTTAATTGAATTTAATATATTATTAATTATTAATGACACATAAGGTTAAACTATTTTTTGTATTTTCTAATTTAGTTTAAATCCAATGTATTTGTTCTTTTAAATTATTTTACTACTTTAATTTATGTATTGATGTAACTATTTAACATAATTTATAATACATGATAAATATTATATAAATAATAATTGATTAGTTGATATCTTTAATTATTAAATATTCATTGATAATTATATTATTTTTATGAGCTATCCTTGTCTATGTTATATACCCACATACTTCAATCTGTACTTGTGTAATAATTTTGTAATTACAACAACATTGGTAAAGCAAAATGGCTACTTGTTGCCTACCATTCTCATTTTTATTTCACTTGACCCATCATTTTATTAAATATTATCCGTTATAATTTACTTCACTTTGGCATTAGAAATATTTAAAAGTGTGCTATGATTTTATTTCACTTTGTTTATTGATGGACTTAGTAGTAAAAGTCTATTCATGTATGTTGAATTTAACAATATGCACTTTGAGTTTAATTGAACAAATATCCAAATTCGAGACAACTGTGTTGTATTTATATTAAAAAATATCTGTATTCGAATTATAATTAAAATGTGGTAAGAGGTTATGTCTAAACCCAATTCTATGTGAATTCAATGTGAATCCATGCCTACTCTTTGGCGTGACATTTTCACCGGCTTAATTAAAGCTCTACAAA